GAGGGAGATGATAAGCAATTTTGCAGAGTCAACAGAGCGATTTTGCAGTGTCAATAGAGCGATTTTGAAGCGTCAACAGAGGGAACACAAAGAGTTCATAAGCGCACAAGCACGCAGAGAAGAGTAAATGACGTGGTGTGTGGACGGGAAAAGTCAGACTGAGCATTCATTGCAAGGTGTAGGGGATGGAGGCAAGCTTAAATTGCTGGGCAGCCTTGATCTCCCTCACACTCCTTGGGAGAGCGTTCCAGGCCAAGGCTGCCTGAAAGGCCAGGCGAGATCTGCCGGCTCCAGGCTGACTGTGCCGAGGGGACAGTGAGGCCCCTGGAAACCTGGCGCCGGGTGGTGCTGCCAGCTGATGGTGAGAATAGGTCCTGGAGGACACTGCTGGCTTTCCCATTGACACAGCGCCACACCAGGACGAGCCGCTTCTGGGTGTAGCACTCGCGAACTCTGTACAGGGACATCCGTTCGAGCAGAGGCTGAGCCGAGGTGTGAGGCGGCAAACCGTATACCGCTCTCGCCGCTCGGTTCTGCAGGACCTGAAGGCGATCAAGCTGCGAAACCTTGAGGGAGGAAGAGAAGCCGTTAGACCCATATAGGAGGTCAGGCATGATGACTGACCTCACATACTGGATGCGACTACTGAGGCTCAGACATCTGCGGGACCGCCACAGTGCTCCAATCTTCTGCACAACTTTCTTCGCCATCGCGTCAACATGGGGGTCCCACTTCACAGCGGCGTCAAGGGTCACGCCGAGGTACCTTGCTGTTGGGCTCAGGGGAAGCTCTGTCTGGTTGCAGCGGACAGCGACATGCTGACCCGCATTGCGTTGTGGTACAATTGACAGGACCTGGCTCTTCTTGTCATTTAGAAGCAGATGTCGATGCTTGAGCCAGTCAGCGACGTTGGTGACGGCCCCTGATAGGCAGGCTGATGTGGCTAGCACTGATTTTCTGTGGCAGTGCACGGCAATGTCATCGGCAAATTGCAGAGATGGAGCAGGATGGGCTATGGCAGGGACATCACGGGTGTACATGCTAAACAGGATCGGTCCTAGGACCGAGCCCTGAGGTACTCCAGATGAGCACTTAGCAGCAACACTGTAGGTGGGGCCAATGCGCACTTGCTGGGTTCGATCGCTTAAGTAGCTGCAGAACCAGCGAAGGGAGGCATTGTCCAGGCCGAGATCGAATAGGTCCCGGACCAGTTGGCTGTGATTGACCTTGTCAAAGGCTTTTGACATGTCGATTAGGCAGAAGCCTGTGGTCTTGCTACAACTAGGGCATACTTTGCAACGACCTGATACTTGACAAATTGACTGAAAAGTTACTGCGTAACCGTTATCTTTATCGGTTAACCGTTAATTCTTCGTAACCGGTCTGCAACCGGTTAATCGGACTAACCGTTTGAGCCCTATTTGTAAACACGCTGTGTTGTGCTACAGAAATATCTGATGTACAATGACTATGTACATGACTGCATGATTGTACATTCCACCACACTCCTATTGCTACTACTGATGTACGATGAACAGTACTCACTAGAAGGCACCATCAGTAGGTGGACTGGACAACTAACTTGCATTCACGTACATGTATTCTTGAATCTTGAACAGAGTGCTGGGCCGAAAGGGTGACAACTGACACTAGTAGTAGCTGGAGCTCAGCAGCAGATCATAGGAGGCGGTGAGAACGTCATAGTAGATAGCGTATTACTTGTAGAGCGTCAACCGGAATATGGCAAAATAATATCGGAAATGATAACGTTTTTAGAGTAGACAGAAGAAATGAACTGATAAGAAATCAAAATAGAAGCACACCAGGTTCTCACCATCTCACGGGGTCAAAAGGGAATATTGTCCTCCAAATAGGACCTTAGAAAAAAAACCCACAGTTGACTTGCTGCACAACCCTGGCACAACCTGCCAGCCAAATCGCAGTTCCAAGCCGAACTGAGTACACAAGGGCATTCTCACACACATTGTCCCAGGTTAGCTAGGTAGACCGTGGCTCACCATGATCGGACGCCTACCGGACTAAACTGGATTCACTCACTCGCATAAAGGAAGACTGAAGAGAACAGAAAGACTGAAGGAAGACAGGAAAGAGAATGCCATACCTGGAATTAGCTTACGTGAACGTTGGACATGGAGCTTAATCGGTAGAGATGCTGTCCGTCATCATTTCGGGCTAGGGGGAGACGTGGCGGGCGAAGGAGTAGCGGCGACTGACGCATCAGGTTGGGCCATGCTGGTACCGGTTACACCAATAAACAATTTACCGCTGCCATCAATTCTGTAGCGCCGCTGTCATCAATGCAATACAGATACTAGGTGGGTTCGAATCTAGCAATTATAAAATTGAACCACCGCTGCCACCAGTGTAGTGGGTAGCCGAGTAGTCGGATGGAGGCACACACAATAAGACTGTGAAGTAGGTTTCTTGGCTCAATCTGCCAGAGGATAAAGTGTACAATTAATAATCTAATCGGTTCAATCTACCGAGAAGGACTCTATAAGAACTCTGAGGAAAACCCTGAGGAAACTCAACTCTGCTCAGTACTGCTCAGCTCTGTTCTGTTCTCTGTCCTGTTCTGCTCTAAACTAAAACTAAAAACAAAACAAAACAAAACTGATCTCTGGTAGAGCAGATAGGGTTATATAGCATAGACAGCATATACATGGCAAGGGGAGAAATAGTAGTGCAAGGAGAAGACGTACAAGGAGATAACGTGAAAGTAATAGGTAGGAGGAAGAATGGACCTAAGTAGCGAGCAACAATTAGGTAGCAGGAATGCAATCTAACAGTATGAAGGAAACTAATGTGAATGGCAGGCTGGCTAATGTGGCGGGAAGATTACTAAGACTAAGTAAGAGGACAGCGGTTGGAAAAGCCATTTGACTGTGTGCGAGGTAGGACGGATGAATAGGGAAGGAATCTCGTAAGTGATCAAAAGGGTCAGTGATGGGGAACTGTGCATCACTGCTATCAGCAGGAATCAATGTAATTGTGTAGTACAGCATGAATGTGTGCAACATGTATACAGGTCATGCCGTACCGGTCTGCAGGCAGGGTTGTCTAGTACTGAGTAGTCCTACTTCAAATTATACCATGGTACGGTACGGAGGGCCTGTTTTCAACCAATCAGCGCTCGTCTAGCCATGGTTATATAGGCCAGTATAAATCCCGCGCGGGATTTATATAGAATATAAATCCCGGTGCACGGTACGTACGCTAGGGCACTGCCACCGTACAAGTTCACTGCCTGAAAGGCAGTGAACTTGTACGGCGGCAGTACTCCAGCGCACGGACCATACATAAACAGACACAACGGACACCACATGCGCGTGTACACTCCACACAGAACGGCACACTGACGAGGAACAGTACACAATGGAAAAGAAGAATGACCTGGAATTCGTCTACAGAGTATTCTGTTATACTGAATCTGAGGATAAAGAACGTCGAATAACCACGAAGTATCCCGAATGGGTCAGCAATGTACATTGTACTTCGAAGAGTTGAAGATCATCAACGGACTGTCTCCTTCGTAAATAAGTTTATAATACCAGTGTACATGCACTTCAACCCGATTGGAAAAGGCTACAATAGATTGGATTGAAATGTGATACAAAACAGTGTATGCAAATGCATCTACTTGCAAGCAAACCTGATTATGAGATGCCGCATGTGAAAATCAGCACTGTACCATAATTATAGTAACACTTACTCCCAAAGAGTCTGTAATCTAACTAGTGACGGTAGTTTGATTCAACGACAAACTCCAGCACCGCAGCAATTCAGTCGACTTCCGCACCGCTCACGACTCAAGACAAGATCATGAAGATGCTACAATATGCACTGGTACTGAAAGGAAATCTTATGCCAAACATCCACGGAGGAATCTCCTTCTGACCTTGCTCGACCATTCTTTCAACTGACAACTGATAACCATCAGAAGATGTTCATGTACTGCATGATGTAGGAGATCTCCAAATAGGTTCGTTGTTCTGGAAATGCGTAGGGGTACCTGGCATAAGTAGGATATGACCCTCGTAGTCGGGTTATACCGTACCCTCATATAAATCCCTCCTGCTATCGCAGTCGGGATTTATATTCAGCCGGTATAACCCTCTGACTCGGGTTATATCCTCTACGTATTAAAGTGGTTGCTGGGAGTAACCGGTGGGACAAGAGGTGATTTACAGTGTCGCGTGCTAGCATGAATACATGTACGACGTCAATGTAGGTCACTACATGTAGTATCATACAACGTATGTAAGTAATACTAATAGTTGGTTACAAGTAGGGCCAGGGATACTACACTAACAAGAGTACATAAGTTCATAACCGGGGATTACATGTATGTACTCTTGCTAGTACATGAATCACATGATGTAGTAGTAGTACTAGTAGTAGTACATGTACCTGCATGCATCGTCCTCGCTAGACTGCATGTACAGTGCTGGCAACTGAAATCCGACCCCCTGGGCGGCGCGCCGCGCCGCGCAGGGGGTCGGATTTCAGTTGCCAGCACTATAGACTGCATGTAGTCATGGTAGTGTCGTGTAGCACCTCACACGAGTCACAGATGGAAAGGCAGAATGCTGAAGTAGATCTACGTGTCTACATGATGATGATGATCATGTAGTAGAATACTTCAGAAGTAATTCAGTACATTCACAGGCGGGGAAACACTTCATGATCTGAGTGGTGGTACTACAAATAATTATAGCTTGGTGGTTATGTGAAAACCGACCCCGTGTGCATGGCGTGGGCCTGTACTGTAGCTGTCCCGTGTGCCCGGATCCGGGCACACGTGCCAGAGTATGAAGAGCGCAATTATAATGCAATGACGATGATGAGTGCTCCGCAAGAAGAAGTTCTAGATTTCTGGTGACGATCGCTACGACTATGCACAACAGGTGCTGTTCCGACCAACGTCCCCCTTGACAACTCGTTCGAAGCTTCGTAGCCTCGCGAATACTGCATACTAGTACCCCTAATCATTACCTGGCCTGCAGTACCGATCCAACTACCTGTGAGCCCATGCAAGTGGCAACGGCGATGGGATCATGCCCTGGCCTTGATACGTTTCAAGATGGTGCGAATACTTTTTATTTGCCGGAAGCCATCCATCTGGCTCATACAGAGAAACAGAGGTTAGCACAGTTTGGAGTGGAATGAGCAGAATATACCGGGGCAAGATTATAGCGAGGTGTTTTGCGGATCCTGTAGTTCTGGGGCACATGCCTAGAGCCGTAACAGTTGTCAAAAAGCAATGTTCTTCAACGTCTTGCAGATGACGAAGAGTATAGAAACGACTTAGGGACTTGAGCCTAGGATTATACTAAACAATGCTGTCTCGCTTCTTCCCTTGGCTTCAAGTTAGTTCAATCGCTGCGCTGTTGATGTTCACGTGCCGCAGCCTTGTGCAACTGCAGCTTTGAGCCCATTTGTCCCTAGCTGAATCAGCAATGTACTTCTGGAACTCGGCAGTGTCCGTAATTCGCCAAACGCAACAGCCGAGACGTGGATTCCGAGGACACGTTTTCGTCCTGTCTTCACTGACTTCCGCCCTAGTTCTGCTGGTGGTTCGCATGACTAGCGCTCAGTTTCCCATTGCTTGCCTCAATGATAACGACCTCCGTGAACAGAAATGCTGCCCAGTTGTCACTGTGGGAAATCCCGTCGGAGCGGAATGTGGTGGACCAGGTCGTGGCGCCTGTAAGCGTATCGAAAGCTCACACTGTCATGTAGAAACGCCGGATGGTCAAGGTGATGTTCTTGACTATCTGAAGAATCCTGTGTTGGAGCCATCGCGCTACCCATGGCCTAACCGAGTGTTCACACAAATCTGTGAGTGTGAGGGGAACTGGGCTGGATATGACTGCACGGAGTGTAAGTTCGGTTACGTGAAAACTGCTGATGAGAGTGTTTGTGTGAAACGCAAAACACCTCTGGTACGTAGAAACTACATGGCACTGAATGATGATGAGCGTGATTATGTCAAACAAACCATTGCAGATATGAATGATAGAAGCAAAAGTCCAAGTCGCTATGGTGTCCTCATCTCAGAGAAGAATTTTAGCAAATCAAGCCACTTGAAATCCAATGTAACAGCAGAGGACTTCAAGTTCGGAATATCAGCCTTCGAGTTTCTGGCCTGGATTCACTATTACGCTGCTAAAGATTCGGGAGGTTCTTTTGATAACGACCACCTCGCTAAGGTGGACTTTGCACACAATGGCCCTAGCTTCACAACTTGGCACCGGTATTTTATGCTGTTGTTCGAATCAGAACTTCAACGAGTATCTGGAAACGACTCATTTGCGGCTCCCTATTGGGATTGGATGGATCGGCAGAATCGTGATCATATCTTCACTCATGCTGACGTCTTTGACGGCAATGAAACCTCACTCGTGGGTGTATTCCGTGATTTTAGGGTCATCTGTTTCGATGCGGGTTTTGCCGTTCCACTTTCTGAGCCCAACATTCTCCGAAGAAAACCAAAACGTGGACCGGGAAGCCTATGCAATGCTTCGCAGTTTGATGTAGGGACACCACTTGTTCGCAGAGCCTATGACCTGCACCAGTCTGAAAATGTGAAGTGGCTGCCAAGTATGCGTGATGCCTGGGATATACTGTTAAATATTACCCACTACGATATTCCACATCACAAGTTATTTCCAGGGTGTCCATCCAGCCTTCGTGTTGGGTTGGAAGGAGGTGTTGCTGTACCTGGAAAACACTACTGCAGTTTAGCAAACGAGAGCATCATCATAGAGCTGCATGGCGCTGTTCATCTGTATTCAGGAGGTGTGTTTGCAAGCGGATCCATGTCGCCTAATGATCCCGCGTTCTACCTCCATCACTCCATGGTGGACCGTATGTTTGAACGCTACATGATCAAGCTGCAGACACTCGGTACGCTACATTACATCCCGGAGTCGGGTGGAGACCCAGGACACAATGCGAACGATTGCATTGTTCCCTCATTCCCTGTCTATCGGAACAAGGAGTTTCTGAAGCGGAGTACTGCCTTTGGCTACGTGTACGACACACTACCATTGCTGGACACTGAGCCTGAACGACCCGCCGAGGAGTACAATCAATGCAATAACCGTGAGTTGAAATCATTTCTTGTTTATCTCTGTGCGGTGGGGGCTCTATCAGTTTATGGTTGCTCCATAGATTCCAGTCAAGACAGCCAGTTCTGATGTGCTGCACCACAGAGGGTTTTGCAATGCTTTGCATGGTGTTGTTTTGGCGGGAAATCTATAGTCAAATTTCTTTCTTTGAAGCAAATTATAGACCGTTGTCATTCATAGTAACAGTTAGGGGAGACTTGGATCGCCTCCACCCACCCCACCACCCCCACCCTCGGAGCGAGTGATAGGACTAAGAATCAGATATGTGAAAAGTCAGATGTCACAGAATGTAGCCTGGAGGGAAGAGTGGCGGGGATATATTTTCGCCTGGACTCTCCACTGTTAACAACTGTCACCCGGCCATCAATTACTGATTCGCATTCACCATCCACCAATCATTGTTCGAGTCAAGATCGTTCAAAAATGCCCAATCGAATGTACATGTACGAGTCGACCGTATGTTCAATCAATCTTGCATGCAGTTGGTTGTGTACATTAGGTAATATACAGCGGGATGGAAATTTAGGGTATTCATAACATGACTGCATGCTTTTTGTCATTCACTGTAGATCCTCCTTCCTTCTCTGCTTATGACATGGCTTGTAGTGGCAAACACCTCTTACACACGGTTGTATACTGACCTTTGATTAATACTCACACTCATTAGTGACCATGCCATCAACAGTATCAAATTTCAATAATTTTGCTTTGACTCAATACATACCACTGCACCTTTCCATGTAGCACTGCACTTTCCCTAACAAGGAGTATTTTATAAACAGTATTTATTGGCTTTTGAGCCAATAAATACTGTTTATAAAATACTCCTTTTTAGGGAAAGGGAAGGCCAACATCATGAATAATTGTGTATAATATATGTACATGTACATGTACATGCAATAGCCTCATGATTTATTGCAATTACATACCAGTTATAAAAACCTCGGCGGACCTCGGTTTTTATCCTGGTATGTAATTGCAATAAATCCTTCGGCTCTACATTTATTATACATATGTTGACCTTCACTTTCCCTAAAAAGGAGTATTTTATAAACAGTATTTATTGGCCCTAGTGGTATTTTATAAACAGTATTAATTTATTGGGTCAAAAGCCAATAAATACTGTTTATAAAATACCACTAAGGCCAATAAATACTGTTTATAAAATACTCCTTTTTAGGGAAAAGTGGAGTGCTACATGGAAAAGTGCAGTGGTATTTATTGAGTCAAAGAAAATTTATTTGAATTTGATACTGTTGATGGTGTGGTCACTAATGAGTGTGGGTATTTATCAAAGGTCAATATAATTATAATAATATTACACATATACCGTAAAATCCTGCCAGAGCGCCCCGTCTCTCCCATCCGCCCCTCCCTGACTTCTTGTCAGGGACGTGATTGATTGTATCCTGGTATGACTCTGTCGCAGTCTGTGATGCTGTGCTGCACTGCAGACGCGTGCTCGACCCCGTTGGAAATGTACGCAACAGTGTCCACCCTCCTGACCAGGGATCGCACAAACCCTGCATTTTGTCGGGTCTGTACGACTCCTGGCTCTTGACCTTTGGTCGGTGTACGAGATGCACGAACAGTTTTCGTAGGGTGAGTACTTTTTCATGTAGCACTGAATGCGGCAAGTAGGACTCGCCCATCCGCCCCTCCCCACCTGAAGCGTCGAGGAGGTAGGGGCGCTTTGGCGGGATTTTGCGGGTACATGTATAAATAATCTACGTGGAGATAATAATTCCCGTAGCTATGCAGAAGACGTTACTTCAGTAACGTCTGGCGCTAGCCAGGGTCCACACAGCTTTACTTTGGTGTTTGTGTGTTTGTGTGTTTGTGTCACGCCTGGAGCTACCGTATCTGTCCCGTCTCTGTCCCGTATCTGTGATTTGGTGTTTGTTTGTTTGTGTGTGTGTTTGTGTCACGCCTGGAGCTACCGTATCTCTCCAATAAAAAAATATCTGTGATTTGGTGTTTGTTTGTTTGTGTGCTTGTGTCACGCCTGGAGCTACCGTATCTGTCCCGTATCTGTGACTACAAAGGTTCTACAGGATTATACATAACAGCTGGCCACAAACAGCTGGCCACAATATTCGTCGTATTATGTATATGACTCCCTGATATAGAGGGAGATTTGGAAAGAAAATTAATAGGGAGACGAGGAGGAAATAAAATTAGAATGGACGCTAGTTGCGGAATAGGTGATAGGATGAATCAGCAAAAACAGACTTTAGAAGAGAGATACTTTGGAAGAGAGATACTGTCGTCTCCAAAGTGAACGGACGATTCAGCGCCGGTCACAGGAAACGTCGGAAGAGAGATCCTGTCGACTCCAGAACGCCCGTGATCGGCAGAGTCAGCGCCGGTCACAGGAAACGTCAGGACAGACGCAGAATCGACTCCAAAATAAGCGTGAACGGGCGATTCAGCGCCGGTCACAGGAAACGTCGGAAGAGAGATACCGTCAAGTCCAGAACGCCCGTGATCGGCAGAGTCAGCGCCGGTCCCAGGAAACGTCAGGACAGACGCAGAATCGACTCCAAAATAAGCGTGAACGGGCGATTCAGCGCCGGTCACAGGAAACGTCGGAAGAGAGATACCGTCGAGTCCAGAACGCCCGTGATCGGCAGAGTCAGCGCCGGTCACAGGAAACGTCAGGACAGACATCTCGTCGACTCCAAAATAAGCGTGAACGGGCGATTTAGCGCCGGTCACAGGAAACGTCGGAAGAGAGATCCCGTCGAGGCCAGAACGCCCGTGATCGGCAGAGTCAGCGCCGGTCCCAGAAAACGTCAGGACAGACATCAAGACATTTTTTGCCTAGCTCATCGTTCATGTTACTAGAACTGATGGAAATGTTTTTTTTCCGTTAAAGGGGCACTCCGGCTTCATTTTCGACGCCGAGTTTTCGATGCCAAGACGAAGGTAGGTGAAAGAGAAGACCCCTCGAACAAGAACGAGTCTCCAGAAGCGATCGAGTCGAGGAGGAAGACGACTTTTGAATTTCGCCGAGCGAGCGCTGATGACGTAATGAGGGATTAGCTTGCCAGTGGAAATGCATCTGCGCACATACATTTCACATACTCTTTGGCCAATTTTCAATCGAAGAGGAGGTTGTTTTCTATGTTCTCTCAACGTCGTGAGCGATCCCGTCTTCTATACCCTTCCAGGTACCCTCAAGGTCCTCCAGAGGAGAATTTATCTCCAGCGAAGCGTTGTTGATCCGCTAAATTCGTCTCGAGACATATTCACCCAGTGCAGTGCTGATAAATGTAGAATGTTGAATCTGTGATAATTGTTGACGATGGAGAGAGAGGCTGATAGTCGCTGTCGCAGGGAGAGTGAAGCTGCTGGAAGTAACAACGGGGAGCCCGTTTGTATCACCTGAACAACCAGACTTCAAAGCAGCTTGACCAAATCGGAGGGTGCCTCGTTGCTTATCGTGAATATTACACCGACATGAATTACTACAAGTACACTGGTGAGTTCTTATCTTGTTTTGTTCGTATGCTAGTACCCTGGCCTGGAGTTCTCGTTAGCAAATTCCTATTCCCTGGCGTTTTCTAAACATTCCGTGTAGTACTGAATACGTGATCAAGTATTCCGATTTGGGTAGATGTGGACTTTGGACATGTATTTTATAAAAATATTCTATTTTCCCAATAGAGCGTTTGTAGTGAAATGGTTGCCCAAATACAACGAAATTGATTCTGCAGTTCTACAACTTGTACTGAAATCCAGTCAAAGTAAAAATGATTCTTCATGACAGTTGGGGTCAATGAAATCTGATCCAGGCATAACGAATAGTGACGCCTGCCACCCCGAGAACGAATGCCCATTTCGTGGGGGATACCTAAGTACTCAAAGTGGTGCGTGTTTCAATGTGGCATGGAAGTTTTATAATATGATCTCTGGTCAATGCAACATACGATAGCCATCATGAATTGCAGGCCTCGAACGCAACTCAGACCAGAATTGGCAGTTCCCTAAGTTTATAATTCCATGGCCCCAGCTGTGGTTATAGAAGTTTGTTTGCACATTATTCTTATAGTCGATAGGTTTATACTGATGGCCACAAACAACGGCAGTTCAAACTTCACTGATGTGTTCATGAGCTGAGAGATTTCTCTCCACTATTTCTGTTGTGCATACAGGTCTGTCTAATATGCATTGACCGTATTGGGATGGTATCTGCTCTGGGAAGGGAATCGCTGGAGCCACAGTCCAATTATACAGGCTTTCAAGAAACAGAGAGGATCCATCTTTCCAAGCTGATACCTGATGTGTACCGACAGAATTCTCACGAGATACCTCACGGACTACGTGTGGTGTGTACTTCATAGTACTCCTTAGACTACTACTAGTATCTAGAATCAAGTCGACTGAAACAAGTTCAAACAACTCTGGCTTCAAACGAGCCGACGATTAGACGAACAAAACATTCTCTCATATACTGGAGCACTCTGACAACTCACGACCTATTCCTAACGATTGCCACCGCTTATATAAATATGTAGAGTGCTGATTGGAATGTGCTCACAATCTCAACAATTCAGTGCTATAATTATTTGAACAATGTGTTAGAAATTATTCCACTTTTCCTTCCATAAATGTATCCACATATAATCCACAGTGCTCCAAAGTTTCAGAGTTTCAGGGTATCAAACAAAATTATTTCAAATACAGTGAAATTGTTCGTGGACATTATAGCGTAACTAATTTACTTGTAGTTCCCTGGTCCTTTTCTTTGCTATAAATTAATCCTTTGCTCTCTAGCCGCCTGCGAGTCGAACAGTGAAATTGTCAGTTCATATTTATAATGTGGGTATGTGGGAGGGGGTTGAACATATTTTTTATATAAGGGACCTGCAACTGTAATACCACAGTACAGTAGCCGGCAAATGTGTAGAAAACAGAAATGCATGCTCCCATCATTGTACATGGACGGGCGCAGCAGGCTGAAGCTATCAGCCAGAACAGGATTTACAATCACTTAGAGATGCTTGAGCTATTCCAGTATTCTCCGTGAGCTGTCCCATTCCACCATGTTTCATGCCACCATTATTTCTGGTAGTATCCATGTGCATAGTTCCAAGACCATCTCGGATTCTTCAGCAATTTGTGCCACGGCAAAAGACAATGCTTGACTCGGTCACTGGGGCTGTCAAACTTCCCATCACAAATGAACTTCAATTTCTCATCTGTTTCAAGTATATGTACTGCCATGACTTGACCATGTTTCATCCACAGCTGGGCGAAGATTGTGGCGTTGAATTCCATAGCGCACCTTCTTCCTGCCATGCAGGAGTATGTTGAGAGAAGTGAACATATTTTTACTAAAAAACAACAGCCACTGAAGAGGATAGCAATAGCCTTGGGTGAATTTCCTGCAGGTACACGTTGTTGGTACGTCTACTGGTCGGTCTCCATATCGTCAAGTTCAGAAATCACCTGTACTACACATCTTGTAGAAGGGATCCTGATCGAATAATTTTCTGGTCATAAAATTCACTAAACTGAGGGCGAGACAAATAGTCAGTACTCCCCCGATTCCGTCAAGCTGCTTTGAAGTCTGGATGCACATGTGATGCTAACAAGCTCCCCGTTGTTACTTCCAGCAGCTTCACTTTCCCTGCGACAGCGGCTATCAACCTCTCTCTCCATCGTCGACAATTATCACAGATTCAACATTCTACATTTATCAGCACTGCACTGGGTGAATATGTCTCGAGACGAATTTAGCGGATCAACAACGCTTCGCTGGAGATAAATTCTCCTCTGGAGGACCTTGAGGGTACCTGGAAGGGTATAGAAGACGGGATCGCCCATGACGTTGAGAGAACATAGAAAACAACCTCCTCTTCGATTGAAAATTGGCCAAAAAGTATGTGAAATGTATGTGCGCAGATGCATTTCCACTGGCAAGCTAATCCCTCATTACGTCATCAGCGCCCGCTCGGCGAAATTCAAAAGTCGTCTTCCTGCTCGACTCGATCGCTTCTGGAGACTCGTTCTTGTTCGAGGGGTCTTCTCTTTCACCTACCTTCGTCTTGGCATCGAAAACTCGGCGTCGAAAAGGAAGCCGGAGTGCCCCTTTAATTGGCTACATCATTGTATTGCAAAAACGTTTCAATCAGTTTGAATATGAGTTAGGCAAAAGTATTTGCAGATTTTTTTGCGGATTGTTATCTTTCTCTCACTTCATCCGCTTTTGGTTTGCTCCTTCTTTTCCTTTTAATCTCCTTATAATCGGATTTTCTGGCCTTTTTACATTAAAAGCATAGCGTAGGGCCCTGAGCTTCCAAGCTCTCTCGTTTTAATAAAGCTATGAATAGGATGAAGGCCGCAGACATCACGCAACTACGTTACTTGTTTGACATGTATTACTGTGTATTTTATAACAAAACTATAATTGAAAACCCAGAATCGATTTTCTCGTTCCTATCATCAGTGGGAAAAATACGGAACTAAGGATACAACCAAAGAAACTGAAGTTAAGTACTGTATATACATGTATGGTGTAGCTTTCGAAAGGTGAACAAAATATGCTACAATGAATCGTCTTCTATCACATCTACAAATGTATTCCTCTGCAGCAAATGAATCAACAATGATGCCAAGACCATCTCTTTCGCCATCAGCGTCAGCATCTCCGAGGCTGCCTTTGTCCATTGAAAAATCAGCATATGGACGTCTGCTTGGCATGGTTTCAGCGTTAGTGTCGCAACTTTATGAATTACTCTGAATCTTGTTTACTTGTTCGTGGTCCGATGTATTGGGCTACAGTTTTGAAATTTAATATCGAGGAAATATGGCTTAGGCTATCATGGACTATCGGCCGCAACTCAAATTGTGCTGCAATCTGCTGCACATTCTTTCCGATTCCAAACCGTAGACATATTGAATATGAAGAATTTTCCAATTTGTCTGTACAAAATGATAGCATACTAGTAATTGTGTTGAAATTGTCCAAGTAACGTCCCGGGGTTGTTTGGTGTGGCCAAGCTCGGCCATTATTGTTCTCTGTGAAAATGAATTGCTCTTACTATTAGCACATTGTCCCAGGTCGAGTTACAGTTCAATTGTTGGAGCATGTACCGTATGATGTACCCGCATCCTGGTTGTACTCTCCTTTCTCCGTTACAAGCCACACTGATATCATTTAGTGCTGTTGTTAACCACAATACCTATCTTACTTTGTTTCCCTATATGAATAGCTCCTTGATGTTGCAATGTACATTAGTACAATGACCATTGCTGATGAGTGTTGTACGAAAGCGTTTTAACAGCTTTCTTAGAGAGGTAATCATGTTCAAAGGAAGAAGAATAATAAAAAATGGATGGGGATAGGAATGTGCAGGTGTCTCCGTCATTCACATGGATTGAGGCTCCAGTCTCTCCGGAGGCGTTCGTTCGAATCCCACCGCTGCCACCGATTTTTTAGCGGGCCACAGTCTCTCTGGGAGGCAAATACACACAGGTCTCAGTGAACACACTGTTGTTTATTATTACTGAAAAAAAGACTGGATTGAAGGTTGAACTTTAACTCTAAATCTAACTGAAGAGAAGACTTGGAGAGTCGTGAGCAGTAGCTTTTATAGGCAGACAGCATAAGTGCTGCAACAGCAATGGTCATGGCAACGCTCAGCAGAGAGAAGAAGAAAGGTCAAGAGTAGGTGTGCGGGCAGCAGAATGAGTCATTGCAGAAGGAATGCCATTTGGTTCTATGCAGAAGATCATCTGAGACGTGCTAGAGCTGATTGCCAGTTAGGTGTAGAACGTCAGTACCATTGGTGTGTGTCGTGCAATGTTATCGCATGAGCTGATTGCAAAGTTACTGATGGTGTTAGTGGATATTATAGCGTAACTTGTAGCTCTTTGATCCTCTTTTCTTCTTAACAAATAATCCTTGGCTCGCCAACCGAGTCTAATTATTATTATTATTATTATTAATTTTGAATAGGGAAATCCCCACAGGCCTAAGGCCCTCTCACAGAGTACCCTATGTGAATGCGAAGAGCGTGACAAAACTGCAAACAAGAGGAGCAAGAGCGAATATCAGCTGGGAGGGCATGTCACAATAAATTGATAAAAATTAATATGAGCTGCTGAGGATTGAGGGCAAGGTGAACGGACGGCGAGCCACCGTCTTCCCGCTAAGCCGCTACGACATCATGCTAGGCAAGCCCTGGCTGACTGGTGGCAATCCAGTTATCACTCAACTATTACTTTTTTAAAAGACCAACCAAGTTCATCTCGGCAGCACGACGCAATCCGCAAAGATTCCAAGTGTGGACCGACAAACTCCAGTTGAGAACGTCTTAATTTATGGCCGTCAGGCTCGACATTCACTCCGCAGTGGTTGGCAAGGTTTCCTGGCGTGGGTTATCGTCAATGTGTGTTCTCTGGATGGCAGTCGTGAGTCAGTCAAGTGTCAAGTCATGTCGGCGGAATAGCGCGAGCTCCAGTGAGGGAGCAAACAGGCTATGAATCAAAGAAAAAAGACGAAAAAAGCTCTAACTCTGTTCCCTCCTCCATTCACTTCGTTGACTCTCTAATAACTATTTATATTGTGCATACTTTTCCCCGTAATCCCAGGTATCTACCCCCCCCCCCCCCTTGCGTACACGTGTATTCTGTAATCTTTTGTTTTTGTGGAGCGCTGGGTTGCAATGAAGCCGAGACCCTAGGCTATGGTCGGTCAAGCTGCCCCTGCCTCTCTCCCAGACTCCCACTCCAGCCATTCCATATGTCTCATCGCTGCCTTGCTGCTTTGTGCCGTCAAATGGTGTGTGGTTTCTTGTAAAAAAAAGAAGAAAAAAATGAGTTTGTCACTTCGTAATGTGCATGCTGTGTTGTTGTGCTGCCGCCTCGTGCCTGTACAAGACTCTATACTAGCACTGGTCTCTCTAGTGTAGTCGAGGACCCTTCCGACCTACTGTGCATGTGCTTGGCTGAATATACTGAGTATGAATACAATCAAGAGTACAATAGTCATGAAAACAGGTTTTCATGTACTCTTGATACAATCTGTTATCATGTTTTTTTCATGTATGAAAATATTATGTTCAGTCAATACAGAATTCCGCTTGGTACAGGGTCCGGCAAACACAGGATTTACTGTACAGACAAATGCTGGTGATTGGCAATACTGCAATCTGGTCCTGAATGCTACAGTCGTCTAGGACAGATTATTTATTTTTTGAAAAACGTAAAAATGTTTGACACCTATGAAATCAGGGGATGGCCCACGCCTGGTAAAAAAAAAAACCAAAAAAAACAATGAGGAGCTAGCTACAGTGAGAAAAAGACAGTGATAAAGGACCATGAGTTGTGAGAGTATGCATGGTATTCGTTGCTCTAACTTCTATTCTTACATTCCTTGTTGCACCCGCCGGCTACCATGGCTCAGTGAGTTGGGGCGGTCGTGATTATCTAACAGAGTGAAAAGGTATAATAAGTTAGAAAAACAGAACGAGAACATGACTCAGTGACCGATTCCAACGTCGGCACCGTCATGTACGGAGAGTCCCATAAGACGGCGACGGGAGCCTCGCAGACGCTGAAAATGGCGAACTGAGTGCGCACGCGTACCCAAGCCATCATGGCAGAGAAGGGCTTCTCCCATTTCGCTGCTAAGCGGCTGGCGAGACGCTTCTGGTAGACTACGCACTGTACTCGCGGTGGAGGACAGCATCAGTGGAACACACCAAAGGAGTAAAGGAGCCTCGTAGCTCTTCAGCGGCATGCTTGTACTTCCGCTTCTTCGCTGCAGCTGCTTTGTTGGCGATGGCATTCCAGGACAGGTTGGCCTTGGCATAACTGGATGCGTCAGCATCTACGATGCGATTATCGAAAAACGCCACCCGGTTGCCTTCCCATACTCCGCGAGCGAGCCAATCTGCTTGGAGCACAGGCCGACCATTCCTGTCCTGTTCCGGGATGAGGATCGGCTCGATGGTGACGCCGCCGAAGGCAATGTCGGCAAGCTTGGCATCACTGTCACGGAGGTCGTTGTGGCCTCTCTTGACAAGGCCGCCCTTATGGCAGTCAAGGCCGTGCTGCAGGGTGAACGGGGCGCCACATCCGTCACAGTGAGACGGAAGAGAGTTGGCAGGCGCGTGCACCGTATGAGTTTTTTGGTGTCTGGAAACCACCTTTTTTCGGGCAATCTTGCCAAAGGAAAATCGTGCCTACTGGATTGGTTATCCTGCATACGCGTCGATCGACGGGCAGTTTACAGTACAGTGACTATGTCCTTATTTCGAAGTGAGAGAGAGAGTTGCTTTGCATGCAGTTCAAAATACATTATTCTCTCCTTCTTCAGTGGAGAGTAGCGACAGAGAGATCGATCTCTAGATCTGGTTCGCTCCTGGATTGGCGATGACGTTCAAGAAATCCGTTCTGTCTCGAAATTTGAGTAAAGCACGCGCGATGCAAGTCAGTTCAAGGATATGATTGACGATATCTCGTTCCAAACTGTTGACTCAAATAAAGATCTCCACAGCCTTTCTTTCTCGCTCATGTGCGCAGCAGAGATGTTCGTCAAAAACGTTGTCGACTGGAAGACGTAAAAATGTGCGCCCAGTCCATGATCCACTTGCGCTGCTTCAGAACGAAGCTTGGCTCCGGCCGCGACTCAAGGACGCGGAGCTTCGCTTTTCTTCCGCAAGCTTCCATCGAACCAAGGCCCATAACTCTTTATTGAAATCATGTGGAACATTGCCAACACATGCACAATGCTGAAAACTTCGTCATAAGAACAGAAAGAAAGATCCGTCGAATGTAAGCAGTGTTTTGATGAAACAAACATGCCTGGAGTGGACTAGTGAAGTACCATAGACATAGTGATATTACTAGTCTTATAGACTGTAGTGTAGCCTGGGCGGCTAGGCCTATCAAACTGTTACGTGTTCAATATGACAAACATGTCATTGTATACGAGTACATTGACTTTTGCACCCTCTTTGCAAATGCTTTTTCAAGTGCTGGTATGTAAAAGGTAACCCGTTTTATCCTGTTACCGGTTATACATGTACCAACATTTTCATGCAACATCGTCCCCTCCCTCCATTCCTCATTACTCTTATTTCTGTCTTTTCTACCTCTGTACCTGGTTCCCTCTTAGACGCGTTTGTGCCGGCATGATCTGATGATAGCAGTCGGACGAGCCCAGCATCTCATCAGCACCAGTATTCATTGGTGCCCTGCACCCCTGATCTTGAGTCCCCCCCTCCCTCCTCCCTAGGCCTAGCCCTCGCCGTTATCTCCGACGGGATGTTCGGGGGATGCGCACAAATACAATAATAATATTATACAGTGGGTCCCCCAAAAAAATTTACCAACTCTAGAAACCCCCCTTTCAAGACTCGGTGCACGCCACTGGTTGGGCTGCCTGCCGGAGCGGATTGTCAGCTGATCCCGAAACTGGGTTGCGGACATGTCGTAGCCTTCCTGACGGAGCGGTAGGACGGTCAGCCAGCCGGAAGCATGTCCGTCGACGATGCGGGAGAGAGTGCGCCGTTCCGTTTTGGGGAGGTCTTGAAGAAGATCCTTGCTGAGTGCCCCTGCTTGCTCGTCCCTGATCCTGCTTGCCTGACTCGTCGCTAGTTGGCAATGACGAGAATGGTCATTGATGACCACTGGCTGACCGGAGCAGATGGAGCGCGCCAGAGTCCGAGTAGCATCTTTCGACGCTGCATGGGCACCCGGTGCTGTTTCGGTGGGGTCGGTGATGGCGAGGCCACTGAACTAATTACTTGGCAGGGAGGGCAAGTAGCTGATGTTCTCGCTCGAGGACCTCTCTACCCAGGACAGCAGGCGTGAACTGTTGCCGAATGATGTCACGTAGCGGGGCGTACTCGGCTTCATGGCCTTCTGAATGTATGACCATTCGCAGGAGAAGGACCGTGTAAACGCGCAGTAAGCTGCTTGTGGGTATGTTTTGGCAGCATCAGAGAGGTGTTCCACGCTCTTAACCCACGATGCAACTCTGTTGCTGACAAACTGCTGTACACCCGCTTCATCACCAATGCATCCTCCTAGGAATCGGCTGGATAGTGTGACTTCCACCTGGAGGTCGCTGAAAAGGTCTTGTGCCTCCTGCAGGAACTGAGGTTTGACAATCAGGACACTCTTGGTGGGCTCAGCAAAGTAGCCATATGCTGGACCAATTTCGAGAAGGGAGCAGAGCCAGGCCCTTACCCTACGCAGATAGCCAGCGCAGGACGAATCGTCAGCATGCCAATTCTGAATAATTATGCTGTTCTGGATCTTTCAGCCGGGTGACAAGAGGTTGCACTCCAACTTCATACATCAGCATTGCCAATGGACAGCCTTGGGTGGTTCCCTCACGACTTAGAATGACATGGATATTACTGGGGGTTGTTCCTTTGAGAATGATGACAGCGAAGCCTCGATACGAGTTGAATAGAAACCTGGCTTGCGCGTGGCCAGAGTACTGTAAAAGCGATATAATAACGAAGTGCTAACTCTAACGAGTTAACGAGGAGACATCTGTCGTTAAAATAGAAATCGTTATACAGAAATTGACACATATACTGTCCTATTGTCTTAGTATTGAGCGTTGAGAATGAGTGAGAATCGTTACCTTTGGTACACGTAAACTAGTCAATTTTGGGATATCGTTATATATGCGCCTCGTTAGAATAATGGCTTTTACAGTATGCGGCAGTTCCAGAGGGCAGCGGATCATGGCTGCTGATGGAGTTGAATGCATTAGAGGCACCCAGGAGCAAGATGCCCTCCGTTTCCTCGCTGTTGAAGAGCTCGTTCATAGCGTGTACCGCGGCCTCGATGCCTGCCTTCGTACCAGCGCAGAGTTGATCGGCTCCACATACATCTTGCACATCAGTGCCTGTGGCGAGTGCCAATGCCTTGGCCTCAATGCGCTGGCGACATTCTCCTATGCCAATCGGGCGAACTCCGGGCTGTTTGTCAAGTGCGACTCCTCTCCGGGCGAGGAACGCTCTCATGGCATTCCAGGGTACGACTTCATTGGCATGAAGACGTGTTGAGGCTGCAATGGCTAGGCTTCCCTCATGCGGGCACTGGCATTCCCATCTGTTATCATGTACCGTACATGTGATGTACATGATTGCACTACAAAATGTACACACTTGCAGGCAAGAACCACTTCACTCTTCACTTCAGGATGATAAAGCGTTAGTACATTTGTACTCTACATGGCAGTCATGTGGGGTAGTACAATACCAGGTACTGTTGCGACCCACGATTCCCCACTTGAAAACTGACAACTCCTTTGCGCACCTCAATACTAAACAATAGGTGAATCGTTGTCAGTAAGTGCCTCCAGCTGGAAGTAACTCAGTTCTGTGAACACTAATATTTAAATTCTACGGAAGAGAAGAGAGAGTCTGATTTGAATGACTTGCATGCACTGCAAGTCTGCAAGTCTGCAAACTCCTTACCTGGCCTGCACTGGCCCCACTTACCGTGAGCCCATGCAAGTCACCTGGTCACTGGCGGCAAAACTGGCAACAAGGATGGGATCATGCCCTGGCCTTGGTGTTAGGCCATCCATCTGGTTCACCCAGAGAAACGGAGGTTACCTCAGTTTGGAGTGGAATGGGCAGAACCTGCCTGGGCCAAATAGGGAGCTGTCTGATGCTGTACTTCTACACTACAGCACATGTCTAGAGCCGTAACATTTTTTCACACAACATTCTTTCTTGCAGAAGGCGAATTTTTAAATGCTATTTTTAATGCCGCTGAGGCCTAGACTACTGTACTACATGAGTACACGAACAGTAATTTGTGCCTTCAGTTGCGCTGAAAAGTGAAAATACAGGACTTCTGCATAGGAAAGTACTGATTCTGGCTGCTTTTCGGACGTTTCCTTTTTCGGACCGGTTTTCGGGAGAGCCTTAGAAAATCGGACCGTTTGGCAGCACTGCACTTACCGTGAGCCCGTGCAAGTGCTTGAAGTGGCAACGAGGATGCGATCATGCCATGGCCGTGGTGTTACTAACTGTAACTAAAACTTAGTGTAAGGCCATTCATCTTATATCTGGGTCACCCAAAGAAACGGAGGTTTAGTAGCACAGTTTGGAATGGAATGGGCAGAACATGCGTGGGCCAGATAGCGACGTGGCACTGTGAGTGTGATCCTGACATATTTCTAGGGCACATGCCTAGACTGCTAGAGCAGTGACATTTGTCACACAATATTCTTTCTTGAATAAGACAAAGACTTTAGTAACGGCCTGGGAATTCAGCCCTCTTTCAGCATATGCGTGTACGTAACAGTGTTTCGTTCCTTCCGTTTGCTTCGATCGCTGCAAAGGTGATGTTCACACCCTCTTGTAGCAGCACGGTGTTCAAATATTCAGCCCTTAGCGCGTGTGGTACCAATCAGCAATGCACTTCTGGAACTCGGCAGTGTCCGTAATTCGCCAAAAGCAACAGCCGAGACATGGATTCCGAGGCCACGTTTTCGTCCTGTCTTCACTGACTTCCGCCCTAGTTCTGCTGGTGGTTCGCTTGACTAGCGCTCAGTTTCCCATTGCTTGCCTCAATGATAACGACCTCCGTGAACAGAAATGCTGCCCAGTTGTCACTGTGGGAAATTCCGGCGGAGCGGAATGTGGTGGACCAGGTCGTGGCGCTTGTAAGCGTATCGAAAGCTCACACTGTCATGTTGAAACACCAGATGATCCAGCCCATGTTCTTGCCTATCTGAAGAATCCTGTGTCGGAGCCATCGCGCTACCCATGGCCTAACCGAGTGTTCACACAAATCTGTGAGTGTGAGGGGAACTGGACTGGATATGACTGCACCGAGTGTAAGTTCGGTTACGTGAAAACTGCTGATGAGAGTGTTTGTGTGAAACGCAAAACACCTCTGGTACGCAGAAACTACATGGCACTGAATGATGATGAGCGTGATTATGTCAAACAAACCATTGCAGATATGAATGATAGAAGCAAAAGTCCAAGTCGCTATGGTGTTCTCATCTCAGAGGAGAATTTTAGCAAATCAAGCCACTTGCAATCCAATTTAACGGCGGAGGACTTCAAGTTTGGAATATCAGCCTATGAGTTTCTGGCCTGGATTCACTATTACGCTGCTAAAGATTCGGGAGGTTCTTTTGCTAAAAACCAAGGCACTGGTGTGGACTTTGCACATGATGGCCCTAGTTTCACAACTTGGCACCGGTATTTTATGCTGTTGTTCGAATCAGAACTTCAACGAGTATCTGGAAACGACTCATTAGCGGCTCCCTATTGGGATTGGATGGATCGGCAGAATCGTGATCATATCTTCACTCATGCTGACATCTTTGACGGCAATGAAACCTCACTCGTGGGTGTATTCCGTGATTTTAGGGTCATCTGTTTCAATGCGGGTTTTGCCGTTCCACTTTCTGAGCCCAACATTATTCAAAGAACACCAAAACGTGGACCAGGAAGCCTATGCAATGCTTCGCAGTTTGATGTAGGAATACCACTTGTCCGCAGAGACTATGGACAACACGAATATAAAGTTGTCAAGTGGCTGCCAAGTACGCGTGATGCTTGGGATATACTGTTAAACATTACCCACTACGATATTCCACATCACAAGTTATTTCCAGGGTGTCCATCCAGCCTTCGCGCTGCGTTGGAAGGAAGTGTTGCTGTACCTGGGAAACGCTACTGCAGTTTAGCAAACGAGAGCGTCGTCGTGGAGATACATAACGCCGTTCATATGTATCCAGGAGGTGTGCTTGCAAGCGGAGCCATGTCACCTAATGATCCCGTGTTCTACCTCCATCACTCCATGGTGGATCGTATGTTTGAACGCTTCATAATAAAGCTGCAGGAACTCGGCACACTACAATATATCCCGGAGTCGGGTGGAGACCCAGGACACAATGCGAATGATTGCATTGTTCCCTCATTCCCTGTCTATCGGAACAAGGAGTTTCTGAAGCGGAGTACTGACTTTGGCTACGTATACGACACACTACCATTGCTGGACACTGCGCCTGAGCGACCCGCCGAGGAGTACAATCAATGCAATAACCGTGAGTAGAATGAAAAGCCTGTTGATACTGTGGAATTTCTGAGTTTTATTTTTCTATAGTTTACTTTACAAGTTACCATCCTGTTTCTCAAACAGCAGACAGTACTGAAGAACATGACTGTACTTAAATACAGTCAAATTATTGACATGATAATTATTTATTCAATTGTTGTTCTGCAACACAGTTAGAAGTCATAGTGCTTTGAACTGCGTGATCATGAACTCCATGAATACTTTCAAGGAAGTTAACCAGCATTACCCATGTTAGAATTCATTTACCTGGTCACAAGGTGGGGTGGGGTAGTCTGTTGGCAGAAATGTTGGCATTGGCACACAAAATTACCTTTTTTTGTCATGGGAGAACTCTGCTTATCCGCACTGTGCAGGAGGACCCTATTATTATTATTATTATTATTATTATTATTATTATTATTATTGACTGGTTTGAGGGAAAGAGACAAACGGGAAAAGTCTGAAGAAAAAATTGACTGTCACCACCAGGACTCGAACCAGGGACCCTCGCTTGTAGCCAGCGATGCTCTAACCACTGAGCTATGGTGTAGTCGTCATCCCAGCAGAGGCCGTTCAACATTTTCTTCAGACTTCGTAACTCACACTTCCTGTGAATCCACACAGGCGGGTGGGACGCAGCCCTCACTGTAACCCACACACTTCACGTACAAACTAGCACGCGGGGAGCCCCAAGTCATAAAATATTGACTGGTTTGAGGGAAAGAGACAAACGGGAAAAGTCTGAAGAAAAAATTATTATTATTATTATTATTTTTTAAAAGAGGTCGGAGGCGGATAATACTTTAAAACGAAGGTAAGTTATGGGTCGCAAATATCCACGCAAACACACATCCAGTCATAATAAGGCACTTGTCATAAGTATCCGAACGTTTTCGGTCCCTTCTCATCAAGGATTATACAGGGAATGGCTCAAGCTGGAAAGACTAAAACTTATATAGCGTAAAGATAATTAAATAACAACACTCGTGACAAGGTGGAAAATTATCAAGTTTAGCACGACACAAAACTCGAAGGAAAATAATAATAGTGACAACAACATAGTGAGCAAATTAAGTTACATTGTTACCACCTCGACGAGGAGTAACACCAAACAATTGTAGCGACAACACATTTTCTTTCTGTACGCAAAGTTCAGGATCTAACTTACGGATATACAAAGCTTCTAACACAGCCAAATGTAACGCACATCTACCACGTGACAATATTGAGAAAACATTATCACTGTACAACTCACGACAAGAGGCGAGATGACGGGACATTGGAGGAGACAACACCCAATGGAGCTAAGAATCGCACTTCGTCAATCAAGCAACATCTGTCAGCCCGTACCAATTGTCGTGAGTTGTACAGTGATAATGTTTTCTCAATATTGTCACGTGGTAGATGTGCGTTACATTTGGCTGTGTTAGAAGCTTTGTATATCCGTAAGTTAGATCCTGAACTTTGCGTACAGAAAGAAAATGTGTTGTCGCTACAATTGTTTGGTGTTACTCCTCGTCGAGGTGGTAACAATGTAACTTAATTTGCTCACTATGTTGTTGTCACTATTATTATTTTCCTTCGAGTTTTGTGTCGTGCTAAACTTGATAATTTTCCACCTTGTCACGAGTGTTGTTATCTAATTATCTTTACGCTATATAAGTTTTAGTCTTTCCAGCTTGAGCCATTCCCTGTATAATCCTTGATGAGAAGGGACCGAAAACGTTCGGATACTTATGACAAGTGCCTTATTATGACTGGATGTGTGTTTGCGTGGATATTTGCGACCCATAACTTACCTTTGTTTTAAATTATTATTATTATTATTATTATTATTATTATTAGTGTGTGGGTACAGTGAGGGCTGCGTCCCACCCGCCTGTGTGGATTCACAGGAAGTGTGAGTTACGAACTCTGAAGAAAATGTTGAACAGTCTATGCTGGGATGACGACTACACCATAGCTCAGTGGTTAGAGCATCGCTAGCTACAAGCGAGGGTCCCTGGTTCGAGTCCTGGTGGTGACAGTCAATTTTTTTCTTCAGACTTTTCCCGTTTGTCTCTTTCCCTCAGACTAGTGAAGATTATTATTATTATTATTATTATTATTATTATTTGAGGGATTCCCCAAAGGCCGAAGCCTAAATCAAGGGGGTCTCCGAGAATAAATATACGTGTACAATGCGTGTACAATAGGGTGCAATTCTTAAAAGGAAGAAAATATTACGATAAAAAAAGATTAATGTGAAGAGATTAAATAAGAAGTCTGAGTAAAAGCAAGCGAAAAGGGTACTGGTAAAGAAGGGGGGTAATCAGGAAGTGAGAAAACCTCGAGTATGGAATCTATACCTGTGGAAATGGGACTTAACGTGCCGGCTAAATACACCACGGGTTTCAGATATCCTTATCTCGGTAGGCAGGGAGGTCCACGTGGTGATCATGGAATGTAGTAGAGTGGATCGGAAACAGGGACCAGTGTGAGTGGGCAGGAGGTAAAAGTGGGGACGTCGTGCACTCTTGGATAGAACTATGTTGAGATTATTGAGGGTTTCCGGGTATTGGCGGGTGAAATGGTAAAACAGTTTGAGGCAATGTATATGCCGCCGCCACGCAAGACTTTCCCATTCAGCAGCTTCAAACACGTTCTCCATGCCATGAGGAATGGGCACTTTCCGACGGTGTAAATACTGCCTGGCCACGCGTGCTTGCAATCGTTCCAAAGTGTCAATATTTCCTGCGGTCAGTTTGTTATTCCACAGAGGTGAAGCATACTCAATGGAGGGACGGACGTATCCTTTGTAGAGGCGGGCAATGAGAGCAGGGGTCAGATTGGGTGACATGTAGGATAGCAGAACAACGCGACGACGAAAGTTGGAGGTGACACTATTGATGTGGGTCTGGAAAGACAGGCGGGGATCCAGGGTGATTCCTAGATGGCGGTGGGTAGTCGAGGGACATAGGTCTGCAGCATCCACACGCAGTGCTGGGGCAGGAGTCTGGGCGGGGTCAAGTTTGCCGAATACAACACGCACGGATTTAGCGGCATTAAACCTGCCACCAAATGTAGCAGCCCAGTCCATCACCATGTTCACTGCTGACTGGAGCTGTTGAGGTGCTGCTGCTGGCGGTCGGGATAACCCCAGCGCAGTATCATCAGCATAGAGGTATGTTTCCGTCCTGTTGCCATCAGGGATTGATCTCGGGAGGGTATTAATGTACAGGAGAAATAGGATGGGCCAAGGTGGGAACCTTGAGGAACTCCCGCCGAGATAGGGGCGAGGGGGGAAAGGTCTTCGCCAACTTTGACCTGTAACTTGCGAGCTTCAAGGTAACCTGCAAACCAAGTAGTAGCCGTTGGGTTGCATAGTGGTTGTAGAAGGGCCAGAAGGGTAGAATGCGGGACGCGATCAAATGCCTTGGCAAAATCCAAGAAGACCACATCATACTCCTGGCTGCTGTCCATGCTCTTGGCGGCGCTAGCCGTTAAATGTATCAGTTGGTCAACTGTGCTCCGACCGTGTACAAACCCGAACTGATCCGAAACTATTACATCTTCATTCCTAAGGAACCTGCTAAGACGGCGCGCGACAATCGAATCAAGCACTTTGGCGACCGAGTTCAAGAGAGAAATAGGGCGGTAGTTCTGGGGTTCAGCTGTGGAACCTCTCTGCTTATATATTGGTACAACTTGCGCCGTTTTCCACGATGGTGGCAGGCGGCCTTGTGTTATACTTAAATTAAAGACTTTGCAGAGGGAGTGGGCAATGACACCAGCGGTCTCCTTCAGAATGCGGTTTGGGATGTCACCACCGGCAGCTTTATGGACAGGCAATCTCTTGAGAGTATCACTATCAGTTACATGTATCAGTTTGTGGTTGTTCCGTGCCGATAATAATACATGTACAGTGCATTTCAAAACTATAGACGCGTAGTGTTTTGCAAAATTCGATGGGATTTATTTAAATATTTTTAGTTTTTTCTCCAGATTCCGTCTCTGCATCGCTTCACAATTCTGGCTATATACTTTGTTTTCGCTACAATTGAAGTTTATTTTTAGGCCAGGTTTTCCGGTTTTACATGTAATTTCTGTTTTGAAGGGTTTGACCAGTTTGTTTTAAGGGTTTGACCAGTTTGTTTAGGATTTTTGCTCCTGCTGAGACAGTGCTGCCAGACCATCGCGGGTGCATTTTTGTACGGGTCCTGGTAGCCTCGTGGTTTCGATCCGTGATTTCCAGTACAAGTGTGGGGCATTCGAATCTCATCACGCCTCCTGCCTTTTTTTTCTCTTCTTTTCTGCATGTTTTGGATCTTGTTGGGTGAAATACAGTAGAGATGATAATTATAATTATTTTCTCTTTTTGATTTGATTTGAGCCTCCCTGTTCCCTTCGCCTGACACAACGAGTGACAGTGGTTTCACTCACGCCAGTTGCAAGATGAGTTCGACGACGAGGATTTCGGATACTCAAGCGTCAATCAAAATCCAGCTCTTGTTCGAAGAAACAATGAACACGACTAATCATATCTTTCTCGGCATCACTGAGATTCTTACGGGCCTTGGAAGCCATTACAGTCAGGCACTCAGAAAATGCAAACAAGAAGAAGATTCATTTGAGACTTTCATTTCTTTTGAGACTTTCCCCACACCTTTTCATTTGCGACTTTGCGTGTTTTGCATCTTTTGTATTTCCCGCGGCGACGAAGAAAAACCTGAAAAACACATCTGAAAACCAGAAAACACTCATGCAAAACTCACGGCTGTCGTGCGCTACAGTACGTACGGCTCGTACGTATGAGTTCACGCGTCTATAGTTTTGAAATGGACTGTAGTTCCATTCGCAACACTCGCCGCTTCCCTTCATTTCGACGTACATGTACAATCATGTACTTGGACCCAACACTGCCAGTGGTTCTTCCTTCTCTGTTTACAAGGGTCGCACTTATGCCATGGCTTGGAGCGGCAAACACCTCTTCTGTGCAGTTATAGAGTTATTGCCTGCAGCCTTTGGAAGGTGATTCACCTTCCAAAGGCACCCGCTACGACTGGCACCACCATGGCCGTACCACTTTTCGAAAAGTGTGGTCCGTCTGGAACGTGCAAAACCGTAATAAAAAATCTCGGGACCCGTACCCGTCAGCTCTTTGACTTTTGTTTGAGTTGACGCCTACTCGACTCGATATGACTATTAGGTGCACTTGGTTCACGGTAACTTAGTTTTCTGCATGTGAGCCATAAATTTCTATGACTAAAATTAGTAAAGAATGTGGCAAAAGTACCCAGAACACAGGATTTTGAGTCTTTTTACAAAAAAAATCCCAGGGGACCTTCGCAACCCGCTCCGTCCTTTGGTCATACCAGTTCCCAAGCCCCTCCTACGCCCCTGGTGAACAGAACCAAGTAGTTTACTAAACCTTCGTCTGTCATTTCTATTTGTCTGCAGCAAATGCATCAACAATAATGCCAAGACCACCTCTTTCATCATCCGAATCTCTGCCTACTTCTGTTGGAAAATCAGCATATGGACGTCTGCTTGGCATGGTTTCAGCGTTAGTGTCGCAACTTTACAAATTGCTCTAGATCTCGTTTTTAAAATTGTCTCGTGGTCCGATGTATTGGGCTACAGTTTTGAAATTCAATTTATCGCAAATATGACTGAGGCTTTCGTGCCAGGCTATCGGCTACAACTCAAAATACGCTGCTATCTACTATTCATTCTCTTCTATTCTAAACTGTAGAAATGTTGAACCGCTTATGGGAGCTATGTATACAGCGTGACGCGCGGCTCTTTTCACCTGGCCTAGTGCATCGCTGTGTCACGACTTTGCCAAAGCTCCCAACTGATGATTTAACCTCTACAGGAAGACTTTCAGTGGATTTGAGTTGTGGTCGTTAGCCCAAACCAACCGGGCCTTTTATTAGTCTTCGGCTCATCTTCGCGCTGTTACCATCTCCATAGACTAAGTCAGTACCTGCACATGGCTGCACCCTGCTCCAGCCGGAGCACTGGCAACTCACTGGTATGTCAAACTCAGTGACCACTGCGGCATGCCATAGTTGTCATGATGCCGTGATGCTCAGCTTCCCATGACAGCAGCGGAGCGCAACATTTTATAATATTATTATATATTTGAGGATTTCCCAAAGACGTAGTCTAAATTGAAGGGAGTTCCATTATAATGGGAGGCTGTAGGGTTGAGATAGCAGACAGTGGAGGGCTAATAATTCGTAATGAACAGCCTAGCAAGAGAAATACAATTATGCTGAATGTTCCAGAATGGTCCTTTAATCAATGATACCTATAGCCTCGGGATATGCCTTGAAATACGAAATGTACCGAAACAGAAACACAAAAATTAATAAGAATAAGCGCAACGCACAAAGAAGGAGGACAGAGGCATGTCAGTGAGGAGTGGCATTGTGTTTGGTGTCAGAGAAGTGCGTGCAAATGTGACTGTGAAACAGGGACTGCGAGGCTGTGGCTCTCAGGTCTGCGGGCAAGGCATTCCAGACAGTAGCGGTGCGGAAGAGAAATGACCTCCCGGCGTGTTTCCCAACCAGTGGCAGAGTGAATGCGAGTTGGCGGCGGCGACTACGCGTGGGGCAGTATCCCGCTGCTTCAAAAAGTTCTGGTTGGGTGGTGACCAAATGGAAGAATTCCATAAGGCAGGCGATCTTCCTGCGCCAGGATAGACTTGGCCACCCCAGCTGTTTAAACAATGATGACTTGGGCTCGTCTGATGGGCAAGGGCATCTCTCAAGTCGCATGACTGTGCGAGCTACTCTGGCTTGCAGCCGTTCAAGGGTCAGCCGCTGTGCAGCAGAGAGGGAGGACTCCCATACTGGGGCGGCGTATTCTGCTGTGGGGCGGACATACGTAAGGTACAGCTTCCTGACGATGTCTCCTGTTAAACGGTCAGCCATATGGCACAGAAGAACGCAGCGCTGTCTAAACTTGCTTATTGTCTGTTCAATATGCTCCTGGAAGCTAAGTGTTTCACTCAACAACACTCCCAGGTGACGGTGACTGGTTGACGGCTGGATACCGCGGATGGTCTCTGCAGCTCCTTCCTCAGCGAATGAGATAACAACGGTTTTCGATGGGTTGAAGGTTCCGCCTACTCGGTCGGCCCAGGCAAATGTGTCCTGCAGGGCAGTCTCCATTGGGCTGGTACCTTTGGTTCGTGCTTGGCCGACGGCGGTGTCATCCGCGAACAGGTAAACATCAGCGTGCTGGTTGCGTTTCGAGGCACTGGGTAGGCTGTTGATATGTACCAGGAAAAGCAATGGCCCGAGGTGGGAACCCTGGGGTACTCCAGACTTGACGGGACGTGGGGAGGACAGATGGTGTTGGACGCGGACGCTGAATGTACGCGTATCGAGGTAGTTCTGAAACCAACTCGTAGCCGGAGCATCGCAGATAGTCCCGAGTTGCTGGAGAAGCACGTCATGCGGCACTTTATCGAAGGCCTTCGCAAAATCGAGAAATGCAGCATCGTAAGGGATGCGTTTATCCATGGTCGAGGCGATCTTAGTAGTGAGCTGTATCAGCTGGTCAACTGTGGAGCGATCACGGACAAAGCCGAACTGTTCCGGGACAATGATGTTGTTGACCTCGAGATAGTGACCGAATTTGGTGGCCACAATCTTGTCTAGTGCTTTCGCAATAGCTGGGAGTAGGGTTATAGGGCGGTAGTTGGAGGGATCACACGGGTTACCTTTATTTTTAAATATGGGGATTACTGTTCCCAGCTTCCAGGCTCTAGGAAACTCACCAAAGGTGAGGCTAGCGTTAAACAGGTTGGTAACAGAGGACGTTATACATGGTGCGATCTCTCGGAGGATCCTGTTCGAGATGTTCCCGCCTGTTGCCTTATGCTGCGGGAGCCTTCGGAGCACCCGGTACACTGAGGATTCGGCCAAGACTGGCAGAGAGAATAATTCATTCGGACAGTCGTCGGCTGGTGCTGGTATTGGACCTGTACCGTGAGCAGGAGTGCACTGGCGCTCAAATACCTTCGCGAGCATTTCTGCTTTCTCTGGTTCACTCTGTGCCGTGTAGCCCTCACACGTTAGGTCAGGAACTTTATCTTTCTTACAGGAGATGTTGGCAAGTGTCTTGGCTTTCTTCCACCAAAGGTGGGCATCTTGCTTATCGTGAATATTCTCACTGAGGCGCTTGAAGTACAGGGTCTTGGCATTTCTTAACTGGTTCTGATATGCATTCCTCTGGGCCTTGTAGGTTAACCAGTATGCTACTGTTTGGTGGCGCTTGGCGGCACGGAAAAGGCGCTGCTTCTGGCGATGAAGGTGATGCAGATGCGGGGTGAACCAAGGCTTGGTTTGCTGTCTTCGAGATGAAACTCGTCTGTACGCTAAGCAGCTGGCAATGGCTTGTGTGATGCATGACTCCCATGCCCACCACGCACTCTCGATGGTGGAAGCACCGAGCATACACTCCCGGAGTGGAAGAGATGAAAGTTTCTGTCGTAGAGATTGAAAGTCAGTGTTCGCGTAGTCTGGTACAAAGCGGGGCGGCGGGTGCTTTGGGGTGTGCTTTCCTGAGAGATATTTAAAGATTATGGGACAGTGGTCTGATAGCGGATCTAGGACTTCAAGGTCGGATATACGATGCTCTGCGTCTGTGATAACCAGGTCGAGAAGTGATGACTGGCTACCCGTAGCTGAGTATCGCGTTGCGGTGTTTCGGACAATTTGCTGTAGTGCAAGGTCGTCTAACAATCCTGCTAGCTGTTTGCCCTCTGCCGTATCAACATCTGTTGCGTTCCACTGTCGGAGTTTGGCATTGAAATCACCGAGAATGACTGTCGTGCCTGAGGCTGACAGTGCGTTGGCAATGGTGGACTGGAAGGACACAAAAAAGTCGTGTTTTTCTGCTGATGATCGGTGAGGGGGCCTGTAAAACATGTGGAATGTATTCTTTCGACTGTTCTGCGATTCTATAAATTCCACGCAAATGTGCTCCAGTTTGCATTCAAGGTCGGTCCGCCGTTGGAAATGGCACATGAGCGATTGTCGAATATAAACAGCAAGTCCTCCGCCTATCGCGGAGTGTCGGGCACCGTCTCTATCTTTACGCAGGAGGCTGTATCCGGCAATTGAGATGGCTGCATCCGGCAGTGATCGGTAGAACCACGTCTCACAGAGGAATAGGAGGTCAAGGGACGAAGTGTGTAGTAGCGACTCAATGACTGGGATCTTATGAGTGGCGCTTTGGCAGTTGAGTTGGCCTATCCTAAGGTGGAATGAATGTGTTATGGGCGTGTAGGGTGGATGGCTAGATGTCACATCAGCAAGAAGGGCAGGGAGGGGTTCTGCATCGTGAGTAGGACATATACTGGTAGGCCTGGTTAGATTTGACTTAGAGGGGAAAAAGCTGGGTGCTAGGGGATTAAGAGACGCCATTTGTAAGAGTGTCGGCAGAATCAGTACAGTAGTAGAATACAGATTGATATGCGCAAAAATGTTCCTGACCACTATTACTAGGATGCTTACTTACTCAAGTGCCGTCGATGACTTGCGGCTACTCGTTTGGCAACATCGGCCATCTCTTTCGCGCTGGCCTGCTTTGCCCATTGCTGTTGTATGTCGACATTGAATGCTGGCTGCTGCTCGGGGGTCAGCTGGGTGGGGGTCAGGACATGGGGTGCGAAGGTGTGCTTCCCCGATGCTAGGGTAAAACCTTCTTCATCTGGAGATGAGTGGGCGGCTTTACCTCGGGATGGTGGTGGCAGCGATGGAGCAACCGGTGTAGAGGCCTGCTGCTGTTGCTGCTGCAGCCCTTGGGGAGGATTGGCTGAGTCCACAGATGATTGTTGTTCATCTTGCACGGACCGGCTTTCCTGGGGCAGAGACTCATCGCCAGTCGCTTGTTCCGCGCTGTTGGGGTCAGGGTGCCTGTGATGCCGCTCATCAACAGCGGAGGCATATGTACGGTTTGTCTCTTCATTCTGCTCTGTGCTGGAAGTATCGTTTTCCTGCTGTGAGGTTTCTGAGATCCCGTCGAGGGGGTGCTTTCCCTTGTGTTCGGTCGGGTGTATTTCTCCCCGGCCTGGGGTTGATGCGTCTTTTTCCTGTTGTCCGCCTTCAGCACTTTCATTTGTGTTCGCTACGGTATTTCCATGCCGTTCTTGCGTATTGCTCTGACCTTGTGTGACCTGCGAGTACAGTGCTTTCTCTCCTGCATGCGTGTTTGGGGTTGCCTGGGTCTGGCTGCTTTGACCCTCGGCCCCTGCGTACGCCTGGTTGCTGTTCTTGCGTGTTGGACAGTACCTTGCCTCGTGGCCAGTCTGTGTACAGAGGTAGCATGTCTGTACTTGGCCAGGGTACCATGTACGTACAGTGACACTACCTACTCTCAGCGTACTCGGTACACCTTTCTGCAAGCTGATTCGAATCTGCCTGGTTCCTGTTTCGATAGCATAATCTCCATGCTTGACTGTTTTCCTCGTCGGCTGACCGAAAACTTTCCCATGTGCCTCCAAAGAATTGATTAACGCTCCATCGTGTAAATGCAAGGGACAGCCGAACAAGGACACCACAGTGACTTGGCTGCCTCCAACAATAACATGCACATCCTTACCGGCGATCCGGACTCCACTTGCCGCGATCCTATCTCTCACAGCTGGGCAGGACAACGTTACTACACACCAACCTGGCTTTCCGTGTAAGTCCACTAGAAGCAACTCCTCTGGCTTCACTCCATTCTTGGATAGCTCCTCAATGAAGAAAACGTGGTCCTTGGGCCACTCTGGATCCTTGGGGAAGAGAACAGATGCTGCTGAGCCAGGAGCTACAAATTTGCTCCCGCCCGCCATCGTACCCAAAAAAAAAAAAAAAAAACAT